TTTTTTTTTTTTTTTTTGAGACGGAGTTTCGCTCTTATTACCCAGGCTGGAGTGCAATGGCGCGATCTCGGCTCACCGCAACCTCCGCCTCCTAGGTTCAGGCAATTCTCCTGCCTCAGCCTCCTGAGTCGCTGGGATTACAGGCACGCGCCACCATGCCCAGCTAATTTTTTTCTGTATTTTTAGTAGAGACGGGGTTTCACCATGTTGACCAGGATGGTCTCGATCTCTTGACCTCGTGATCCACCCGCCTCGGCCTCCCACAGTGCTGGGATTACAGGCTTGAGCCACCGCGCCCGGCCATGTTCCTTTTCTATTTTAGATATGTTTCAGTGTGCAAATACGTAAATTACTGTTGTGTTACAGTTGCCTACAGTATTCAGTACAGTAACATGCTATACAGGTTTGTAGCCTGGGGCAATAAGCTATACCACATAGTCTAGGTGTGTAGTAAGCTAAACCATCTATGATGTTTGTACAATGAAAACATTACCTAATGACTCATTTCTCAGAATTTATCTCTGTGATTAAGCAACACATGACTGTATATGTTCTAAGTGGCTCCCTACTGTCTGTTACTCTCCCTCCACGCTTCCAGATTCCTGCAGTCTTAGCATCTCCTAACTCCTACCTCTGTTTCTTCCTGTCTCTCCTTGGACTCCTTTTTCCTGGATAGAAGATTGAAAAATGTCTTCATGGAAAAACCCAGGATGAATGTGGGGTTTAACTACTTTGCTTCCTTTCCCTCAAGGATCATAGTTCTGCAATGATTGACATCCAGTGCCTAAGAATAATTCTTCCGTATATTTTTCCAGCTTTATTGTTTCAGCAGGACTTTAAATTCAACACTTGGCTGCTATATCATTACTGATCATTTTCTTTTGAGACAGTCTTGCTCTGTCACCCAGGCTAGAGTGCAGTGGTGTGATCTCTGCTCACTGCAACCTCCACCTCCCGGGTTCAAGCAATTCTTCTGCCTCAGCCTCCCTAGTAGCTGGAATTAGAGGTATGCACCACCATGCCCAGCTAATTTTTGTATTTTTAGTAGAGTTGGGTTTCACCATCTTGGCCAGGCTGGTCTCGAACTCCTGACCTTATGATCTGCCCACCTTGACCTTCCAAAGTGCTGGGATTACAGGTGTGAGCCACTGCACCCAACGCTGATCACTTTTCTAAATAGGAAAGTTTGTACACTCATAAGATTTCAATTATTCTGTCAAGCAGAGTGGAGAAAATAAACATGCTATGAGCCTTATCTGATTTTACTTAAAACTCTTACAAAGATTTATATAGTTAATTACACAAAGTTTTCAATTACATCATTCTTACTAGAATAAAAATGATCAACTAAGAGAACCTATCAAAATTACAGGGTTCCTTTGGAGGCTATCTTTGTGTCTAGAATCTTCATAATCTTATAAGACCTTTATGTTCAAATAGCCCTTCCAAGATCTGATATATATATGGAATAGGACAAAGAGTTATGAATAGTCACATAAACTTCCATATTTCACAGGAAAACAGATTGACATCCTCTGGAAGTTCTCAATTTAATGCTTTATCAAATTAGGTTTTTAAATGTAATTCACAGCACCAAAAACACATCTCTAGAGCTGTAGAAAAGGAGGAGGATATTCCTTAAGCTCCTTTCTTGGCATGATGTGAAGATTTGTATTTTTAGAGCCAGACTCTGGAATTTCATTTATCAAGTTTATAAGCAAAAATTAGGCTAATAGAGCTCAAATTTACTAGGAGAAATGAAAAAAGAGCTGCATATTTTTTACATAATGACAGTGAATTAACTGGACATATAGCATTTTTTTCTGTATAATGTTAAGGCGGTTTTTAAAAGTTTACATGTGATTTTGTGACTATTCTTTCCCCCATCCCTCAGCTGGCAGATGGCATCTAGATCAAATGTCATGACCCTCCCTAGCATTGTGAGAGTGAAGCTCCATGTGTAACCCACTTGAATTAACTGCAACCTGAGTAACCAAAACACTATATTAACCAGAGCATATCCTGTTGCTTCACTTTTAGGAAAAAAAAAGAAGCAAATGATACCAAGACAAGCTCCTAAGAGAGATCTAATCAGCAGATGTGTACGGATGAAAATACAGGTACAAATGATTTCTTACAGGCTTTTGGATCTGCATCTACATTTTTGCATAATGATGACTGGTATTCAGAATGTCACAGTAGAATGCAGAATCAGCAAAAGAATGAGTAATCAAATTTTCAGTAAGAGTTAAACACTTGTTTAGTATGTCAAGGTGGCTCACCGTATTCTAGGTTCTGGGAGTAGAAATATAAAAGAATTTTCTCTTCCTCAGAGAGACTATGACCCAAGCCACTGTGTGTTTGCATTTGACAAACCCACATACCATGCACAGTGGAACAGCCATTCTATGATAAACGTCTTCCTGCCTTTAGATTCTTGAACTCTCGGTGGGAGAGCCCTTCCATCTTTTTGTGTTAGCTGAGTCCAGCCAGTTCTCTGAGAACAAGGCTTCATCTGTTGGCCTCTCAAATAGGGACCACGTTACACTCCAGGTAGCTCCAGACTTGAGAGTGGGGTCGGTGTCCCCGTGTTGCCACTTTCAGGGCACTACGCCTTCACCCTCTAGTTAAAGCTCTGCATTTTGAAGCTTGTGCTCCATTCCTGCGCAGCCTTCACCGGGCTTCCAAGTCACACCTCCTCCTTAGCTGATGGGGTGTTGCTGGGCTGCCCACTCGCTCTCCACTTAGGTGACTTTACTATTTACTTGAATAAACTATTCACCACTCCAGTGAATTAGCCACTCTGCTCATCCATCTATTGTCTTTCTGTGACCACTGTCCATACTGGAAACTACTCCATCAACCAAACAGTGCAAAAAACATCCAGTATCTCACTCACAATCTTCCTTTCTTTTCACTTGTCATACGTATGCCATTATAACTCTTCTTTCACTAGGCGCTTCTAGTTGACTTGCCCTTTCATCTCCCATTCATTTGCCTATCCATTCATCTAACACCTTTTTCTACCTTCTGTTTTCTTTGTATTACTGATAGATTCTAAGATCCATTACTTCAGTTCAACTCTTGCAAATTGTCCAGCAATTTCCACCCCGATGAACCCGTCTATCTTCTCTATGTCTACACCCAGGTTGCTAAGAAAAACTGAAGAAAAACAGAATGGAGCAGATTTGTATTTCTGCAAATTAATGGTCAGTGACCTCAACTAGAATCTCAAAAGTGACCGGTCTCCTAGTTTCTACAAAATCTCTTTTAAACCTATCCTATTCCTCTCACGTCTCCAACGCTCTTATTCTCAGCATTTTTCCATTTCACTGGAAAAATGGAAACCATTAGATGGAGACTTCATATAGTCAAAAGTTTTTTGTCTTCTAACAAAGGCCAACCGTTTTGCATGTGCTCTGCACTCTAGCTCCTCAGGTTTTTCTCAAGAATATTAATTATTTCTTCTCTTTCTGATTTTATTTCAATTTCTTCCTTTCTACTTCCTATTAGCACCTATGCATGCTCCAATTTGTCTCATTACTACAAAAGTCTCAACAAACCAGTCAAACATCTCCTTCTGCCCCACAAGGGACCCTTTGCAAACCACATGCTTCTGTAGCTACTAGCGTCTCTCCCACTGTTCTCAACTCTCTGGGCTGAGTTGCCTATAGTTTCTTTTTCTATCTTTAGCCGCTATTCCCTCCATAAACCCTCAAATTCAGCTTCTGTTTCAGCCACTCCATGGAATCAACTCTTGCTAAAGTCACCAGTTATTTTTATACCACTTAATCAAATGTACTCTTGTAGTCCTCATATCATGCCACCTCTCAGAATCATTCTACAAATTGACTATTCTGTCTTTTGAAATACTCTTTCCCCTTGATTCTCATGGTGTCACATGATCCTAGTTTCTCTTTTACCTCATTCAGCCACCAAGGCAATCCCATCTACTCTCATGGCTTTAGTTGCCACCTATACTCCAGTGACTTTCAAATTCTATCTCGAGCAAACTTCTCTTCTGAACTATTCACATGACATCTTCATCTAGAAGCCTTCAAACACCTCAGCTTGGATGCATTAAAAGTGAACTCATGCTTCTGTTTACCCCCCAAACTTTGTCTTTCTCCAGCAGATACTTTCAACACCCATCTAGTTGCTCAAACGACATACCTGGATATACCCTTGATTCCTCCTCATTACCACTTCTTATGTGCAATGAATTACCAAGTCTTAATTCTACTCTTGGAGTATTTTGTCACTAACATCAATATTCACATGGCTTCCTGGAATGGGCTTTGCCCATGGAAACTATTTTCCTCAAAGCTGTGGAGGTGAGCTTACAAAAATGCACCTCTGATTATGACACATTTCTACTTAATATATTTCAGTGTATTCAGGATTTCCCTCCCTTCTAGTATTTTTTTGATCTACCAAGCATGTCAATTCACACCTCAGCCTCTGGTTTCCTCTCCAGCCCATCCTGCTCCATCCACTCTCCTTTTTATATTCATTGTTACAGTCGAACTGGCTTTTTTCTAAGTCCTCAGATGTACCCCCCCAACCCCAACTCAGAGTCTTCTGTCTCAAACACTCTAGGCCTGCTCCTCTCTCTGCTGCAATAACATTGACTCACTCTTCAGCTCCTATCCTCCAAGAAACCTTCCCTGACCTTTTATCCTAGTTAAGATCCTCATCTATATGGACTCATTACCAGCTGCGCTTTTCCTTGAAGGCACTGGTCACAACTCTAATCAAACAAGTACTTCTAAAGATGACACTTGCTTAATGTGCGTCCTCCTTGCTAGGATGTGCACTCCCTGAGGTCAGGGTCTTTGTTCATTGCCATATGGTCGGGGCTAACACTGTTTGGCTCATCATATATGCTCAGTGACTGCTTTTTTGAATGGATGAATGGTTTTAATACAACATGGAAAATATAAAGATGGAGGCGGAGAGATTGCAAAATGAAACAGAGATAAGTGGCGTTTCACTTAGCCAAGGAAGTCGACTAGTGTAATTGCCATTGTGTGACCCAGATGATGGTCTTGGACACAAAATCCGGGGATACAGTGGTCAGCGATGTAGTGCTTATTTCAGCTTCTGTCTCTGGCTTGGCCTCTTCTCTGTCTCTCCAAGAAGAGGTCTGTCTTTCCAACCCCTGGAAAACCCAAAGCAGCTTGGTAAGCTATCACTGTTCACTAGTTGTAGGTGGAGCAATAAATTAGCCCATCAGGTAATCTAAGTTCTCTTCTTAACTCCGCTGCTATGACCAAAGATCATTTAGGTTTTTCTGTAAAACAATACAATTAGGGGCCGGGCATGGTGGCTCACGCCTGTAATCCCAGCACGTTGGAAGATCCAGGTGGGCAGATCACGAGGTCAAGAAATCGAGCCCATCCTGGCTGACATGGTGAAACCCCACCTCTAGTAAAATACTAAAATTCAGGCACGGTGGTGCATGCCTGTAGTCCCAGCTACTAGGGAGGCTGAGGCAGGGGAATCACTTGAACCTGGGAGGCAGAGGTTGCAGTGAGCCGAGATCACGCCACTGCATTCCAGCCTGGTGACAGAACGAGACTCTGTCTCAAAAACAAAAAACAAACAAACAAAAAAACCCACAATAATATGATTCGGGAGATTAGTTATCTTCTCCATAGTTCAGGAAAGAACTATAAGAGGATTTGTTTAACCTACATATATGTACATTCGAAATCCCACCATTTTCATAGGGGGAAACATATCATCCTTATTTCTCTATTTCTTACATGACAAACACTGGATTAAGAAAGCCAAATAATTGTAAAACTTAGTACTCTTTGAAATTATAATACTTTCTATGGAGAGACCATTTTATGCTAAAACGTTAATTTTTAAAGTACCAATTCCTACATAACATCCCAGGGGACAGAAGCACCTGGGGATTTTTAAGGCACTTTCAATTCAATCCGTGTCAGCGTTCATTCATTGAGTGGATGGTGCAATAGAACCCTGAGGATTCAGACAGAAACTCTGTCCTCAAAGAGCTCACGCTGAGATCACAGACATATAGCTATGTTATGATACTGTATTCCACAAATAGAAGTATGTACAAGTTATAAAGATGGCCCAGAGAAGGACAAATCATTTTGAAAGATCAAATCCTGATGAGGCAAGACCTCAGCTGGGTTGTTAAGGATGGAGAAAGGCATTCCAGGGAAAGGAAATAAATACTCAAAAGTACATCTTCTGATCACAGGATAATGCTTCTGGCCTGTACCAGCAAGAAGTGGTGTGGGAGGTGAAGGACAGAGACCAAACCATGAGGGGTCTATGTGCCATATTAATTGAGAAGCAAGGACTTGGTTCTGTAACTCAGGTGACACTTGAAGTTTTCGAGTAGGGACAGATGTAGTCAATTTTGCATCATCTCTGTGGCAATGTGGAGGATAGCTAAGGGAAAAGTGAGTCTAGAGTCAGGGCTGGCCGGCAAATAAACGGAGAGACCAGCTGGACGCGCCTGTCCACTCAGCCTGTAGAAAATTGTAGGAATACTCATCCACATAAAATTCCAGGGTAAATTTGAGTGTCCATAAACTAAAACCATGTACTGTATAATTTTAGACACAAGAAACTGAAGGATATCATGTTATTTATATAACATTTAGAAAGCTACTGTACTTCTTGAATGTTTATCTGTCCCCGCTATAATAAGTGAAGGTTTTACTCTTGAAATAGTTGCTAAATAAATTATCTGTGTGCTAAAGATAATAACCTTAGGTCACACACCTTTTCCTTTCCCTTAGAATAGCTGGAGGCAGGTAGAGTTTGTTCATCAGAAAGGACTTTTGCACAACTTTATGAGACAGCTGCAGGTGGGCAGTGTGGTTCTTGGACCACCTTAGTTTGTCCTTGCTGCCTAAAACAAAGCAAAATAATGAGGGCACTTAACATGGCTTTATTTTGTGTCCTTGCATGGGCCTTCAAAATAATTAGGACCCTCTTATTCCTTTATTTTTTCATAGTCTTGGCAGATCCCCACATCAGTATTAGATTTTGGCATCTTGCTGCTTTCTGTCGAAAAGCACCCAGATTCCAAATAAATATGTGTATGAAATTTTCCATTACCTGGCACTGGATT